GACACATCCTGCTACTTAGCTCAGTAACAAATCCAGAGGGGAAAAAAAAAGAAAAAGAAAACAGCTTAAATTCAGCCATCCAGCACAAATAAGATAAAGATTCCTTTTTTTTAAAAAAAAAAGTTGGATTGGAAAAAATAAATGAGTGGATTGGAAAAGATCCTTAGAATGGGGAAGAATGACCCTTTTCAAGGAGCTCCCAGGATGCAAAATAAAGATTGAAAATTCTCCAATTAAACAATGAAAAGAACATTACAAAAACATCAGCAACAAACATATTATTTATCCATATAGGCGGCCCAGTGTTTGCCAACAACCGTATTTTTCCCATTAAATGTGCCCTTTTATAAATTAATAGAAGGGATTATTGTCTTGTGTGTGCAAGACAGTCGTCATTGTCCAGCTGTAAACGTTTCTTTAATAGAAATTTATACTGAAAACAATATAGATTTGATTTTAAATATTTTCTTTCTTCTGTCAGTATTAGGTATATTGTAAATTCCTCAGTATGTTATTTTGGTCTATTTAAAAGACCCCTTTTTGGTATTAAGGATATATTTTATAACACAAAAAATAGATTTTATTTATTTTTTTGGATGTTTTAATAAAAAAAAATTAGAATTTCTTTTTAATTTTTTGATATTTGAATTGTATTAAAATATAGTGTTTTTATTTTGGTATATTTTATGAAACAGAGTTTATAATTTTTATTTTTAAGGGTGTGCGCGCACATGTACACACAGGTGCACAATATGTTGGCCCGTATAGTTCTAACAATGAATACTCAGGAAAGTTTGTTACTGAAATTTCTTGAAATTGAATGCCAAGGACACATTTTCACAGTCCCGACACTCATTACAGGGGGCCATAGCTTTATTCCCCGCCAATTCTAAAGCCCCAGCCGCGAAGGCTTGCCATCCCTTGACCCGAGCTCTCTTAACGGTGCAGGAGAGCAGCAGTCATTTGTTTAATGAAGGCCTCGATCTTGTTACCACTGGCTGTCGTTAAGAACAGCGAAAGGGATTCTTTTAAAGAGAGAAAATCAAAAAAAGACAAAAAAATATTGGTTGTAAATATGCTGATCTCCTTATTTATTCTCATTGCTATTTATAGAACGGCAAGACTTTGGTCACATGACCACCTGGCATTGCCATGCAAAGCCAGAAGTCTCACCGCTTCTAAACCGGCTTCCTGATTGTGTCCATTTTTGTAACCTTTGCCGGTATCTTGTGAACACAGACTTGGCAATCTGATGTAGACCAGGGTGGGGGTCATTGATCCTCTACCGGCACCACGCTATTGAGCATTGTTGGTTTGACTAGAATGTTAGGAACTTACGAGTCCCTGGGTGCACCGTCATGCCATGGTAGGGATTGTTGAACTGCCGGTAATACTCCAGATCGGAGATGACAAGTTTTGGTGAACGTTTTTGTTTTGTCAGGCAGATATTTAGAAATCTGCAGCTTGTGGAAACAGAAGGGAGCGAGCGATTAAAACTTCCCAGCGCAAGACATTTGTGACTTTTCGTCCGGACGGCGTTGGCCGCGCTCCAGAACACGTCATTGCGCAGTGACTTGCTGCCAAACCATTCTATGGCCCCGTGTGTAGTTTTTCAGAAAGAAGACCCAGAGTGGGCTTTACACGCCGGCAGTTGGATCACTGTACTGTCTTCTGCCCTTCTTTAAATTCTTTTTGAGCACATATGCTCAGATACAAGAAATCCTCCATTTACGTTGTCCAAGTTTACCAGGCAGTGTCCTCATCCAAGTTTAAATAATTGTATCCCTGTAATGCTAGTAGACATATTTATATATATTAATGCTAAACACATTTCATTACTGCTTAGCAAAGTAGTCAAAGTCAGTCATTTACCTCTTTAGAATGGCTCTTTAGGGATTCAAATTTAAAACAATCAAGTACACAACACACACAGGGACCATGGGGAACAAAAGTAGTCCTCCTCCAGAAAGAAGGACAGTGTCAGCATGAATGGAGGGGGGCTACTTTTGTTCTCAATACAATACAATCTGTTGAGTAAACTAAACATGAGATTGTAGTCCATCCCGGGAGCAAGCTTGGAGCGGTGACTACTTTACAACACACACAGGGAACATGGGGAACAGACGTAGCCCCCTATCCAGAAGGAAGGACAGTGTCGGCATGAATGACAGAGGGCTACTTTTGTTCACCATGGTCCCTGTGTGTGTTGTATAGTAGTCACCGCTCCAAGCTCACTCCCAGGATGGACTACAATCTCAATTAAAATGTGTAAACTAGACCTGAGATTGTAGTCCATCCCGGGAGTGATCTTGGAGCGGTGACTACTTTACAACACACACAGGGACCATGGGGAACAAAAGTAGCCCCCCTCCAGAAGGAAGGACAGTGTCAGCATGAATGACAGAGGGCTACTTTTGTCCCCCATGGTCCCAGTGTGTGTTGTAAAGTAGTCACCGCTCACAACTTGCTCCCAGGATGGACTACAATCTCAATCCAAAAAAGTAAACTAAACATGAAATTGTAGTCCATCCCGGGAGCAAGCTTGGAGCGGTGACTACTTTACAACACACACAGGGACCATGGGGAACAAAAGTAGCCCCCCTCCAGAAGGAAGGACAGTGTCGGCACCCATTCAGAGATGATTGGAGGATCTACAGCCGAGTGATACACAAATAAGAGACTGAAATGCATTTTTAAGATTTAACTCCGGAATTTAATGTCACTATAACAAGGCCATGTAACTTGTAGTGAAATTGTACTAAGTGAGGCAATCCGCGGCACAGAGATCCTGATTTACGACACTCATGTAATGTGAAGTCCTGTTGGCGGGCCACCTATGATGTGAATGGTCACATGTGCCAGAGTTCCAGGAAGTAAAGGGAGATATATTAATCTGCCCTTAGTAAAAATGGCTGCTGTGAGTAGAATGGGGAGGAAAAGAAAAATAAAGTATGCAAAGAATAAAAAGCAGACTATTATCTAGAATGATCTGCGTGTAGATTGCCATTACTGAACGTTTCTAAAGGTGTATCTGTTGTCACTTCAAAGATGAGGGTAAAGTTCCTCTTTAACTGCAATGTGTTGACATTTAGTTATTGCCTACTAATTTTTTTGTTTTGTTTTACTTCCAACCCTTAAAATGCAGAAAACATCTGCTGATTGTCTTGAGATACAACTAAACTCAGGCGTTAATCTTAAAAATACATTCAGGTACCTTAACCATTACCTACAATGTATCATATTTGTGTATGACTCAGCTGGAGATCCTCCAATCATCTCTGACACTGTCCTTCCTTCTGGAGGGGGGCTACGTCTGTTCCCCATGGTCTCCGTGTGTGTTGTAAAGTAGTCACCGCTCCGAGCTCACTCCCCGGATGGACTACACTCCCAATGCAAATTAGTAAACTAAGGGGGGGGGGAGCTTGGAGCGGTGACTACTTAACAACACACACATGGACAATGGGGAACAAAAGTAGTCACCCTCCAGAAGGAAGGACAGTGTCAGCACCAATTCAGAGATGATTGGAGGATCTACAGCCGAGTGATACATTGTTCTTAATATGTAAGGTACTTGAATTTATTTTTAGAGTTTAACTCCGGAGTTAGTCAGGAGTTAAGTCATCTTCAGTTAGATGTTTTCTGCAGTTTTGAGGTTGGAAGTAAAACAAAAAAAAAAGTTAGTAGGCATGAATTATATTTCAACACAGCGCATGCCTTTTGATTTCTTGGTTCTTTATAGTTAGTAACTGGCCTTACAGTTTTATTCCGTTAGGAAAAGACAGATGAACCGAACTACGGTGTCTCAGTGGAGAACACTGGGTCTGAAGACATACATAGGTGACTGACAAACTGGACTTCACATTACATGATTGTCGTATATCAGGATCTCTGCCGTGGATTGCCTCACTTAGTACATTTTCACTACAGGTTACATGTCCTTGTTAACGTGCCCCCAAATAGAAGTCACTGTGGACGGCTTCTTTTATAAACTATATTTATTATAAATGGAATATTAAGGATTATTCGAGTTTCACCTGTATATACTAATTGAAGGGGATCTTTTTGCCTAAAGCAACCACTAAGAAGGTTTGCTTTCCTATCAGCACTAGAAAATGACGGCAGCACTTGGCTGGGTTGCTTCAGTCAGCACAGGCAAGCCTCGCTTCATGCTTTTGCTAAATTGCCTCCACCGTGAAGATTTCCTATGTCTGGCTTCACACAAACCCGCCTTGGATATTGCAGGCCCTACATGATGTACTTTTGTTTCCTTGAGACTCTTATTAAAATCATTAGCCAACCTGCGTAAGTGGGGCCAGCGGTCCTGCGGTCCTGAGATGACGGGTAGCCAGCGGTCCTGAGATGGGGGCCAGCGGTCCTGAGATGACGGGTAGAAAGGCTGCTCAGAAAACCGAATGGGCGCTCTTAGAATCCTTTTTTTGGTACAGACGAGCTGAACTGCTTCCCGCAGCGCGGCTTTGTTTTTAATCCAGTCAGTGTGATATTTTGTCGCTAATAATTCGAGTCTCCTTCATTTGTAGCATCACGCTCAGGAATGTTTGAGTTCCCCCCTCTTGAAAGGTGGCGCTTTCCTCCTGACGAGGCAGGGTGACTTGGTGGAAGTCGACGTCGCAAAGAACACA